ACAACTTTAAACCACCAGCTGAGGCCACTAACCCACAAAAGGGACAATCAGTCAAGACCGGGAGGGTTGCAAAGGACAACAAAGTGAACGGGCCTCTTCCTAGAAAGACTGCAACCATTCTCAACCAATTCCCACTCAGCACATTCAACTCCAATGTAACTATTCCTTTTGAGCACAACCTAAGTCTCCCTGTCTCAAATCACAAGAACTTGAGGATGAAGCAACTCACCAAAAAAGACCCCCAAAACCCAAACCCTACACAGCCTATTTAAAATAGATCCAGGCAGGTATTTCCCAACTAGGGCTTCCAGGCACACCTGAAGACATACTTGTGATACCATCTGTTTTAGGAACTATGTTGAAAAGTGCTCTTAATTCTAATCTCCAGTCTTAGAAAACAAAGATTCATATTAAAAGCTGATTTGCTGTTTAGACAACTATATTCGACAAATCAGGGGGAAAGGGGGAGTGTCTGAGGACCAGTTCCAGTTAAGAGGTACTCACTGATTCCACCCTTTCCTCGTCACAGGTGTCTTCCATGACCAAGCCTGTAAGAAGGCTTAAGGGGGAAATTTCCCCAAACCTCCAGCCTCCAGGGCAGAGGCAGGATTCATTCCTATTAGATCCCAAGGTCATCCTCAGGAAAACTTAAGTGGCATGAAAGGCATTCATCTCCTTCAAATACTAGCAATTCTCTATTCCCATGCATTCCTAAATCTCATACCTCAAAATCTTACAGCAAACAAATGTTTGCCACAGGAATTTTTACTGTTATGTACTCCTTAATGACAGCTCTAATACATATAAGCAATGTAAACATAGAACACTCAATCCTTGTCCCAAACTTACTTTATATTCTGCCTGTGAAGTTATCGTCTCTCTCAGGCAAAAGGTTCAGACTTCACAGTACACCTGTGTTCTTATCAAGGTTAAATCTGAATACTGACCAAAATGCAAACTGTGGTCCACTCAAAGGGAGTAAAATTACTAAAACAGTACACTAATGGAAAAGGGAAAACCTCCCACCTGATTGGATAAACGGAGGAATATATACATCATCAGACGTGTTCAATTACTCCACACAAGTTTAACATGGGCAACATCTGTTCTTTTGCCCTTGGCAATCAGAAGATTCTCAATTTTGCCAGTTCCGGCCTGACAAGTTGCCTGTTTTTTTCAACAGGTTGCTCTTATGAGAAATCCTCACATTCCTGATGTGGCCTCAATCCTCCAAAGCTCAAGTGTGGAGAAGAACAGAGCTTAACTAAAACAATGGTATTTAATGGGAACCAGAGGTATGTTACAATTACAGAGTCCAACACAAAAACTCGTGGAGTTGGAAGGTTACAAAATAATGAGGGTAACACGAGGAACAAGAAGAAAAGCTGTTCCAGATCTTCAGTAGCCGGGCTAATAGGGCCTCTCCCTGCGATCCTGTCTGTGATCACCCCTGCAAGCAAGAAAGGACAGCCCATTAGACAGTTCATCACCACCACCACCCGTGCTCCCAGCCATGTGACCCTTAAAATCAATCCCCAGAGAGAAATGGGTCTCTAGATTAATTAGCCTGAATCATTCTGTTCCTCCCACTTGATCCAATATGGTTTTTATTCATTCTCCAATCTAGTCCAAACCAGCCCTTAAAGTATGTTCCCCATAATTTTCACAGAATTATCCCATTATCTTTTTATTTCATACTCACCTGGAGTCCATTTTGCCAGGGCCAAAGCCACCTCTGTCTCCACCACCTCGGCCACCTCGGAAGCCCCCACGGTCCCCACCACGACCTCGGTAGCCACCCCGATCATAGCCGCCTCTTCCACCTCGACGATCATCTCCATAGTTACCACCTGGGACAAAAGAAATAGAAAAGTTTATCTTCCCTAATGTTCTCTAACATTTCCTCGTCTCCTTATATGTATTAAAAAAAAATTTAAAAAAAATATTAAACTCCAGTTCCTTTACTAGCTTTGCCTCTTACCCATGTGAGAGCCTCCTGGTCCTCCTGGGCCATCTGGCTTTGGAGCCTTACACTGATTACATTCATTCCTCCAAGAGAAGTTCATGTTCTCACACGTACTAGAGGGGTGGAAGAGAAACTAATTTAGAAGAGCAGTTGGCATTGAGCAAGACCAAAGAACAGACTTGAGTAACCTTAGGAACTGACAATGACATCAATCCCACTAAAATGAAATTAGGTAAACTCAACTAAATCTGCTATGTGTCCCTGACATTTTAAAAACTCTAAAGGATTGTGGAAAGAAGGATGTTTCTCTTACGGATTAGGACACTTCCAGTCACCAGCTCGCTGCTGTCCTCCACCTCCACCACCTCCACTGGGGAATCCTCCTCGGCCACCGCCACCACTGCCACCACCTCCATAGCCGCCACGGCCCATGGGTCCTACAATAGATAAATCACATGAGTTTATTCTTCACTCAAGTGTGACTCATTTAACAAACCTTGCCCATGCAACCCCATGCCATCCCTCAGTCTATGGGGCAAGCAGAACAGCTCACCTCCCCGCCCTCGGCCTCCTCGTCCATTTCCACCACCTCGATTGAAGTCTGCTCGCCGTGTAGCAAAGGAGACCTTGATAGGATTTCCAGAGAATTCTTTACCTAAAAAAATGAGAAAAATGAGACTATACAATCTGCAACACCCTAGACACATTTTATGCGGAACACCGCTATACTTTTTCCAGCAAATGAGATTCCACTGAAATGGAAAATTAAAGGGTCTTCAAAATGTCTACCTTAGACGACTAAGTGCTCTGCTGTGCCCCTTAGCCCCGACACGTCCCTTTCACCCCATACATACCATCAAACCAGTCAATAGCTGCTTTAGCAGAAGGCGGGTCATCAAATGAGACTGTAGCCTCTCCCTTCAGCTTGCCTGTTTCTCTGTCTGTGTATAGATTAATCATGGGCTGCCCTGTTTTCTTATTTGTCTGTGGGGGAAAATATATGTTAACATCTCTGACATGCTACATCACTACCTACTACTCTATGCCTTCCTCTCCAGTACTTGAGGTTCATCACTCCTTAACTTCGGCCCCCAATTCCAAGTTATCAGTCCCTATTTTAGCATATTTTACATACTTTCTATTAAAGCTTGGCCTTCAATTGTTCCTCACATCATAATCAAGAGATATAACTAAGAACAAAGATTACAGATTCACTAATTTATGCCTGATCAAAAACACCATACTTCTTCTATATACTGTTTTAAAAAACATAACTGCTAATGTTTTTTTCCTTCAAACAAAATAGTTCAGCAATTATTAAAACTGCTTTGTTTTTCCACAAACATATGAGATCTAAAAGCCTGCCACGCTTACACAATTGCTTGCCACGTACCTTAATAATACCAATCTGCTTGAAATAGTCAGCCACAGACTCAATGGTGACATTCTCACCCAGGCCTTGAACAAAGATTGTGTTGTTGTCAGAATTATCCTGTTCTGCTTGTTAAACACAGGAAAACAAAGAAAAAAAAGTTATACTTATTAAGCTTTAAAGTGTACCAAGTTATACTTATTATTAAGCTTTAAAGTGTACCAGTATTAATTCCCCTTATGTCTTTTCTACTTTCTTCACAAGCTGAGTCACCTAACAGCTCAAGTGGCCTAACCTGGTAGGGAGGTGTACTGCTAACCCAAAGGCAAGTGGTTTCAGATCCACCAGTGGCTCTATGGAGGATAAATAATCTACTCTCAGGCCATTTACTGGCTCTGAGTTCCTTCAACAGGATAGTGATGAGATGAATTCAGAATGATCCCTATTAGGAGGCAGATTCTTATGCCTCTCATAACCAAGAAGTAACTCATCCTTTGATTCTGATAAATGTGCTAGTTTATGAAACAGACATATCAAGTCTGTGTTTTAATTTCATACATAAAGTTCCACTTAAGCTACTCTTTGTTACTTGTGGACTTACCAGAGTCATGTCGTGATCCTTGGTCCCGAGGGCCTTAAGTGACATGGAAAAAAAAACAAACAAGGAAAAAGGAAATTGTTAGTCAACAGGAAGAAATAAACCAACCAAACACCAAATGCAAATTCTTGCAATACATCAGGTAAGTGTTCACAGCCTCACTCCATACCCTGTTCTGGGTTGCCTACCTAAAGAAGAAAATCCTAAGACAGGCATAGGGAAGCCATGGCCACCCCTTAAGATCTGTAACTGAAGTCCCCAGGGGGACAACTCCACAATCCAGAAAACTCCAGCCTCCCCAGTTCAGGCTGGGAAATGTCCTCAGCACTGTGGGGGAAGGGAGAGGGAGGGAGACCCATTGATGTTAACAACCATAGCTTGGCCCTGTTCTCTCAACCCAGAGAGATATGAGCTTCACCACCAAGCAACGTGATGTGCATCCATTCAGTTTCTCAAAACTCTTTACACCAAAGATTCTTATTCTTTGTGGAACAATTTTTATCTTTAGACACCATTCTCTTAAAACCATATTAAGTTTCCCCAAAACCACATGAAATTAAATATACATATTAACTATTGTATTTTAAAAGCATGACCCAGGAAACAGACCAGAAATCTTATTTCCGTAACGTAGGTCTCTAATTTTGTTTCCCAGAGACCGTCTTTGACCAACGTTTATCTGAATGAGCCATGTATAAATATTGTACACACACGCAATGACACCTAAAATCATGAACCCAAACCTTTTTAAATGTTGACACAATCAAAAACCCTTTTGTTAACCAAACCAGAAAAGTTCCAGCTTACTGGGAGACTTCTCAAATATGCCATTTTTTGCATGAAATCCATTTGTACTGTTTAAGACCTGGTTATTTCCCATGAACCATACATGCTCCCAATCTTTCTTGAAGTAGTCCACACACCTTCCTTCCCAAAGCTAGTTTCTATTTTCCCATCTTACTTGAGTTTAAGTACAATGTGTAGAATTGCATTGAGACCATTCAGTAATTAATATGTAAATATATACCAACTTCACCAACCTCCGAGTAGGGCAATAATCCTCTCCCAGATTATTTGAACGTTGTGACATGTACACACACACTCTAACCTTGGACACACAGATCAAAAGGATCCTAAAGCCAGGTTAATAATCCTCTCCCAGATTATTTGAAAGTTGTGACATGTACACACACTCTAACCTTGGACACACAGATCAAAAGGATCCTAAAGCCAGGTTGGTAGCACGTTTCAGTACACCCACTCAAGTTTCTCATGATGGTGGTGTTCCCTAAGTGCCAGTGTGGCAACACCCCATCAGAAGCCTACTAAACATCTCTTATTAACCCGTGTCAAACCAACTTGGTACCAGATGACTTCCAAGTCTTAACCCTGCCTGCCTCCAGGTTAAGCACACATCTGGCAGCAAGTAGTATTCCATCCCACCCTTTGATCTGGAGGTGGTTCTGGACACTTCAAAACCTTTGACACTTAAAAACACACTAACACATCTGCAAATGAACAATAAGACAAAGCATTTCCAGGAGGTGGGAATTTTGTAAACTCTGTTCACTTACCACCAAATTTATTGAAGCCACCACGGTCACTTCCGCTGGAGAAGACAAGTTAGAAGAAAGGACATGAAGCTTCCAACGGCTACAAAAGGGTGTCTTTTTAACATCCCCAAACATGGGTAGGTGTTTTGGGAAAAAGATACAAGTGGCTACTAAAATACATTTCTTCCTGACCATCCCTTGTCTGACCTTTGAGCATGTCACACACATGTGTGCAATTTCAGACACAGTTTTAAGATTTTGCTTTAAAAGATTATAAATCTATTTCCTCTGGAAAAAAAAATGACCCATTTTCTTTGGCTGTTCCTCCGATGAAGATGTTTTTTTCCTCGTCGTGAGTTGTTGACAAACCCAGCAGTTGGTTTAAAAACCCTACTCCCGATTTAACCCAGAAGACATTTCAACACCAAGCTAGGGTATGTCCTGAACACAGTTTTGAGGTTTTTGCTTTGAAAGCAGCAAGCAGACCCAATTCCATTCCATAAAAAAGTCAAAACCAAAAGCAATTTCCCCTTAAGCAAGACAAACTAAGCCCTATCTTACTACTGAGCTGCTTATGAATTCCCCTCCACCCCCGGGGTCACCCCTTCTACACTGTGAGAAGAGCCGAGTATTTTGCAAAGTCACCTTTCATACCTGTGGCACATAAAATGCAGAGCAAGTTAACAGTCACATAACAGTTTTTTTTCTTTTTAAAGTTTTTCATTAAACACACACAATGTTTTCCTAATTTTGTAAGATTTTTTGTAAGCTTGCCCCCACCCACCTCTGCATACTTACCAGATGCACTCCTTTTTCTTATAAAAATATTTTTCCGAAAAAGCAGTAGCACACTGACTTTCCTCCCCTTTTCAAACGAGACAGTCCTTCAGATCCCATTTACCGACAGATCTGATGACTGTTTTAATGGCAAATCAACTACAATGGAAGGGGGAAGAAAAGTCCACTTGGACAAGCTAATGTCTAAGTACCCAAGGAAGGACAGTGGAACAAATATGTGGGATACCACTGTCAAGTGTATTTTGTCCAAAAGGTTTGCACACTTCAGATAACCCACAAACCAAGTCACACACAAAATCATTACTTCACTCTACTGGTGCAAATAATAAATGCTCATAGATCAAGTAACTATAGAATACAGAAGACTAGTCAATTCCTGGAGGTTTAAGTCAGGTTAACCATTACCAACTCCCTTAGAAACACATGGGAATATCAGTAGTTAAGTTTCCCTATTTCCCAAGAGAGGTATCATTGATTTCCCTTGCAGAGAAAAAAAAAAAGAGAGCCTTCCATGGTTTTTGTCTAAAATACAAACAATTACAAACCAGACACACTTAAGATATTTTTCCTTTTTAAGAAAAAAAAAAATAAATTGTATAAAACTCAAAATTTCTGTAAGTAGGTCAAATCCAGGCTCCCCAGTTCTCACAAAAATAACAAGGGGATATACATGGCAATTATCACTGGCCCAGATCAAAGCCCTCTTCAATCCCCTAAAGAGTAAGAAAACCATGCACTAGGGACTAGGCTTAAAGGGAGTTCATGCAACCCTCCACTCCCCAAAGAAGATCCTCCCTGCTTCACAAGACACCTACCCCATGCCGCCTCTGCCTCCACGACCACCTCCACGACCTCGGGGTTCATAGCCACCACTGCTGCGGTTATAACCACCGCTGCTGCCACCGCCACCGCCGCCGCCACCACCACGGCCACGGCCACCTCGGTCCTGCTGGCCTCCATAGCCACTGCCGCCTTGGTCCTGATTGCCATAACCACCGCCGCCGCCACCACCACCACTCATGGAGGACTGATCTTGGCCATAGTTACCTGTCAGGAAACAAAGTGGAGTAACAAAGAAAAGTCAACATATCAGGAAACAATGTGGAGTAACAAAAGGACAAAACAAATGCCAGAGACCAGGAAAAACAGGTTTTTAGAGGAGGATTCTAAAGATCTAAGCAGAATACAAAAATTCCAAGAAAAAAAATTAAGAACACCAAAGATCCTTCTCACCTCCACCTCCACCTCCACCTCCACTGTTGTACTGGTTCTGCTGTCCATAGCCCTGTGGGGCATTATAGGAGCTTTGCTGCTGTCCATAGCTTTGCTGCTGTCCACCATAGCCAGACTGCTGGCCGTAGCCTCCACTCTGAGGCTGCCCATAGCTGCTGCTCTGAGAACTGCTTCCATAGCTAAAAGAAAACAAAACAGTTCCATCAACACATTCAAAATTATCACTTTTAATATTTGTATTCTCTATGAAGAGGTTCTGGGGATGAAGTCTGAGGCGTGGTGCACTACTAATAAAAAGGGTATTATGGCGGTTCAAATCCAGTGGCAGTTCTGCAGATAAGAGATGACACATCTCCCATTAAGACTTACAGCTCCAGAATACTGATGCCGGGTCACCCAATGGCAATAAGTTAAACTGAATATTCTAGGTTAGAAGCCCTGGTGATGCAGTGTTAACACATTCAGCTACCAACCAAGTGGTTCAAAGTTACCAGCCACTCAGAGAGGAAAATGAGGCAGGCTGCTTCCAAAAAGATTTACAGCCTCCCAAAATCTACAGTGGTCTTCTCTGTCCTACAGTCAGTCTGAACTGATTAGATGGCTGAACTAGTGAGGTGGACTCCCTATACAAGGGTTGCTAAGTCGCTAAGTCCCTCCTAAATACACTATTGCTAGTTACATCCATACACCCCTAATCTCGTATGCATACCCTTCACACCTCCTTACCTTCCTGAAGCGCTGCTAGGAGGTGGCTGCTGGCCATAACCAGGATAAGATGACTGCTGTCCGTAAGAAGACTGGGAACTCTGGCTGCTGCCATAGCCGCCACCTGAACCATATCCCTGGGGAGCTGACTGGGTACCATAGCCTGTTAAACAGAAAACAAGGCAGGAAGTGAGCTGAAAAAAAAACATTTACTACCTGTCTTGAATCTTAACTTATGGCTATCATTCCATTGGTGAATGGGAGGAGGTTTTTTTGGTTAACAAGGCAGAATTACTATGAGGTACGTCTTTAATCCTTAAACCTATACCTTTTGATACATATCAAGTAGAATGGGCATGCAAACAGATAAGGAAGCTACAAGACATACAACAGAAAAAAAATATCCAAACCAACCAATTATATGACAAGAGGCTGAAAAGAAATAAGCAGAGCCTTCCCCTGAACAGACGCCCAAAATTTGGACCTCTAGCAGCCTAAGTGTGAGAAAACCAAGTTGTCAAAATCACTCACACATGCGGCATTTCTATTAAGGCACTAGACAGGCTTACCCAAACCTGAAATGTCACTTTTTAGAAGCTCCCAATAACTAACAATCTAACTCAAAGTCTTAAATTTACCCTTCCACCACTTGAAGACTTAACTTTCTACTACATCAACTCTTTAAGACGGTTTTCCCCATCCATCCCAAAGCCAGTCTTCAGAATCACTGTTTCATTGTAGCGCCAAAAACACATGAAAATCCGTATTAGATAGTTATCCTTCTGGGCTTCAATAAAGATAAGTAAAAAGTCATACTGCCAACCCAATTAACGATAGGTGGTTTGAATCCACCAACTGCTCTGAAGGAGAAAACAGGCAGCTGCCCTCCCTCAATCCATGTGATGAACAGCCTCTAAAAACCCAGAGGATCAGCTGTGCATTCAGTTTATCACATGTTGTACCCTTGATTTCAAACATCTTTAAGCAAATCCTTTATCAACCCTATTAGCATTTCTTCCTTTAAGAAATCACACACAATCTCACACACACACCTCTCACTTTCATGCTAAGAGAGTAAATGGTCGGGAAGGCAGAGTTAAAGTACAGAAAGAAAACAAATTACAAGCCAAACATGCATTTTTGGTTTAGGACTCTGACACAGGAGAATTTTATGTTGTACAGACTAGCTAAAGGCAAAGATACTCTGGGACAGTTTCAGCACCTCAGATTTAAGAAAAACATTCAAACAGGCAGGAGAAGGTGGGGCAGCTTCCCTAAAAGACTTACTGCTCTGGGTCTGTCCGTAAGAACCACCATAGCTGCTCTGTCCATAGCCAGAGGTGTCTGCCGACTGACCATAACCACCGTAACTCTGCTGTCCGTAGGGCTGGTTGCTCTGCTGGGAGTAGCCCTGTCCAGGCTGCGTAGGATAGGCTCCGTAGCTGAACCAGTAAGGGAAAAGAAGAAAAAAAAAAGATTAGTAAGATGCCTTGAAAAGAAAAAAATAGATTAGTAAGATGCCTTGGCCACTGTCCTCAAATTCTGGAGACCCCAAATCACTACTCACCTCTGGGTTGCTTGTTGGGAATAATCTGCAAAAACAAAAACCACATTGCTGTTGTTAGGTGCAGCCACAGATCTGTCCCCTCATCCTCACTCACGCCCATCTAACAGTCACTATGTCAATCCATCTCACTGAGAGCTTCCTCTGTGGACAACCTTAGCATGATGTCCTTTTCCAAGGACCTGACCCTCCTAACCCCAGGCCTTCAGTCATCACTAGGCTCAATTTCTTCGCTCAATTGCCAGGCGGCCTAGGAAACCAACCCCCAACGCTTTACAAGGCTACAAACTCCCCCCTTGAGACACTGATTGAGAGGATTAAGTTGGTCGATTTTCCAAGATTTTCTTAAAAGAATAAATTGTTAGGCATACAACAGAAATTCCTTGTTTTCTGCAGCATTTCACATAAACATACTGAGTACCTCTGCAGAAAGGTGCCACACCAAGGGTCAAAACAGGTTTCTCCTACCTCACGGACCCGTTTGGAATCAAGCCCAAGGTAACAATGCTTACAATATTCTCTCAACCTTTGCAAAAGCCCGTTCCCCGCCCCCCTCCCCCACCAAAACCAATTTGAAAGACTGGCAAGAGTAGGCTTCTTGAGCCCAAAAGAGGAAGCCTTTTGGTCCCGAAATAGCCAAGTTGCTCAGGAAACGCTCGTACAAGGCCCAGGCCGTGCGAGGCTCAATGGTGGTTTCCTCCCCTGTACCCTTCTTTGGGCTTTGCGGGGCGACTCGGCTAAGCAAAGCTAACGGAAACAGGCTTGAACTACCAAAAAGGACGTGCAGGAGAGCTCAACCCATGCATTCAGAACAGGAAGTGAGGCTTCGCCCCACGGGGAAAGCACATGGGGCAGTGGGTGTGGCCTCGAGGAGTCTTTCGGTTCCCAATGCAAAAAGATAAAGGAGAAACTGCGGCGGGAAAAGCTTCCGGTTGGGTCTCCCGGGCCGCTAGGTGGGCGCCAGGCCCGGAACTTGAGCCCCCCGCCTCCCGCCGCGTGGCCACCAAGGCGGGAACCGCGCCGCCCGCCGCTTCCCGGGGGGTCCCCGGGGCCGAGCCCCACCCCGGACCCACGGCGCCGGCCGCCGGCGGACCCCGCGGCCAAGCGTCGAGCCAGCGCGAGGTCGCAGGGCGCCGCGCGCCGCCCGAGGGAAGGGCCCGCATAGCGCGTGCGCGCCACGAGTGCCCGGATGCAGCACTGCGACAAAGCGGGCTAGAGCGCGGGGCTGGGGACCAAGGGCAGCACGGCGACGGGGGGCTGGCCACTTCTACCCCAGCTTCACGGCTCAAGACACCCAGAAACACTCCTCACCGTCCCCCCCACACACACACGCCAGTTACCTCAAGGGGAAGAGTCAACAGCCCCGCATTCGCGAGGCTTCAAAGGAGTGAAACAAAATGGCGACAAGGGCCTCCCCCTCCCACCCTTCTCCGCTGCTTCCCGTCCCAGGAGTCCCGTAGGGGCGAATCCAAAAGCAATCGCCGCCAGAGTCTCACCGAAAAGACACAAGTCTGGTGAGAAGGAAACCGCCACCTCGCGCCCTTACATACCGTTTGAGGCCATGTCGGCGCACGCGCGCACAAGGCGACAAGCAACAGGAAGTATGAACCACACAACACCAACGCCTCGAGGACTGACTAGCACCGCCTCCTGCGTCGAGCCTTATGTACGCCTCCGCCGCCACAGCGGTGGGCGGTACCAAAAGCGGAAAAGGAGAGGGGGAAGCAGGGCTGAACTCGCCCCGTTCCTAGGAGTGTAGGCGGTCTGAGCCGCGTGAAGGAGGCATGTTAACCACAAATATTCACAGTTATAATATATATATCATCAGAGTTTCCTAGGAACAATTCTAAATTCTCGCTTCAGGTCTAGTCCAGATTCACTTTACCCCTGTGATGCCATAATGGTACGATTTTATAAACGCCCCCCCCCCAGGGGCGGAGCGAAGAGCCGGGAGGGTTTTGTCGGCGCAACTGTGGTCAAATCCGGGAATCACTGGGCGGGAACTGAAATTCTTTCAACCTCCTTTCACTGGGCCTGACTTTCACTCCTGAAAGAGGTCTTTTGCCCTTCCCTGTCTTCTTGCTCCTTCAGTTGCTCTGAGCCAGACTGCCTCCAACCTCCTTTGCACACCCGCACCCCGATGGTTTTGACGTCCTTTCCCCACCACACGTGAACTCTTAGTTTTTCTTTTCATTTTTCAATGGCCGTCTTTCCCAGTCTCTCCGAGGGTTTATCGATGGTGACGTTTAACTCGAAAGCGTGGTTTTTAACACGGGCACTTTCATCCAATCACCGCTTTGCCCCTGCCAGACAAGCCAAGGGACGGGAAAGTGGAGTCCCTAGGCTTCGGAGAGTCGTGAGATTAGATTGCAGAAGCCCTTTAATCTTTGCGGATCATAAACTACATTTTCTTTTCCAAGAAATCATTTCAGAAACCCCAGTGGTTCCAAAAGGCGCAGTAATTGTTTTCCCATCACAATATATAGGTAAGAAAGTGAAGGCTGCCCATAAAGTTCTAGTAAACCCTTGATTTGGGCCCTACTGGTTTTTCAACATGCTCAGGTGTGAGTGAGGGCAAAGTGAAGTTCATCACTTAATCATTCAATCATTCAATAAAGTGTTATAGACATAAAAGAGCTCTGGTGACAAAGTATGTAAGAACATCAAGCTGCTGACCCGAAGGTCAGCAGTTCAAATTCACCAGCTGTTCTGAGGATGGAGCATGGTTCAAATTCACCAGCCACTCTGTGGGAGAAGAATGGACAGTCTCCTTTCATTGGATTAACTGTCTCTGAAAACCTGCTGGAGGGTCAGCTATGAGTTGATTCTGACTTGATAGCACATAACAATATTATAAAAGGGATCTCTGAAACACTTGCTGGAGATCAAGGACCACAGCCTTCAGTATGGATTACATTTCAACATCAAGAAAATAAAATTAGGCGAGCTCTGGTGGCCTAGTGGCAGGAAACTGCACTGCA